ATATATGAAAGGTTATGAGCGATTTATTCCGTAATATCCTAAACCGATTTATGTTACCGACGCCAATGACCATAAACACTTCATAATAAAAATAACAAAGACATGAAAAGCATTGTACACCGAACAATTACAATAGTACACCAGAGGTCAGGCTCGCCTACATGAAGTGTTATATGATTGGTCGAAACTCGGTCGTGAGACAAATAGATTGAAAGACTAACGCACCTCCTTGACAAGGTGTCCTCTCTGACAGGAAATTTTAAGGACAAACAAATTTTGAATATATTTTATATTTTATATTTGAAACACAAATAAGGTAAGTTGACGTGATCATATAAGTTCAAATGCGCGTCCATGTTTAATTCAAGTGACGTATTTATATACATCGTTTTTGATAATGATTACAATGTCGCCCTCTATGATGCATCTAACATAAACTTTATCAAAATAGTTGAAAATAAAAGAACGCCAAATCTGATAAAAGCTAAGATATAAATCAAGTAGATCTTGTTCCTCGAACATTTTTGTTTATTTTGGCCATACTATGTTTTCGAGAGTTTTAAAGGGACATCACGTGAAAAGGCGTTTTTTTTTTAATGAATGTATGTATTGTATGCACTTCCACTTATGTTACCTCGCTATCCCCATATTCATAGTCCGTTCCAAATGTCCAGTTTGACCACTTGAATTGTTCGGGAAAGCCCGGCTAAAATTAGCGCCGATAACGTCACCTGATTAGGCAGCAAACACAAGTGGTGCGAGCGAGATGAAACGGTTTACAAAGGGGCCCTCAGAGAGGGGCCGTCAGGCAACTGCAACTTCTTACCGCACTATGAAACCAAGTTATATGATTTCTAATTCCGTATTCAAACTTATTGAACAGTAATTATTCATCATCAGAAGTTAATTGCACACTTGCCAATATTAAGAATTTAAATTTATTTAGCTTTTAACATAAATTTGTTGCCAATAAAATTAAACAAAGGATGGGGCACAAGTTTTTACAATTTATCACAGCCTTCTCCCGTGACCGGTACAGGTGGTACGGGGCTAAACACTCCCTCAACAATGGGACAAACCTTTCTGTAAAAAGGAATATTCACGAGACGAATATCCCTTTTCAAATGTTTACATAAAGTGCATATATGCAATGACAAACTACACGCGAATATAAAAAGGAAACGTTTGTGAATTTATTTATTACATTAAACAACTCAATGTCTTTGGCCATTTTTTTTCTAGACCATGAATATAAATCTATGTATACTCTCTTTCCCACTTTCACTGTCTCCAAACGCTAACATTTAGGAAGTCATATTAACCATCACACACAATAAACTGTATGGCAAAACCACTACGTGTACATGTAGAATATGTGTCAATAAGGAACGTGTTGAGATACTTGATAATTATATTTTTTCAATACTTTACAGAGATTAAAGCATACTTTTAAATGGACCTTTTTATGCTGAGACAACTTTTCTTTAATCAGTTCCTTTGGTCCGAAACAGAAGCCGTAGTTATCGGCAGCACGCGCCATTTTTATAACGTAATCAAATATTTTTTCCCCTGTTTTCAATACGTATTCCGATTCTATCTGAAGTCGAAAATTTATTCTTTATAGAGAAAAGGTTGTTACATGATCATACATTCTAAGTCAACATCATATGAAAACATGAACTGTTGAAAAATTACGATTTAAAAAAAAAGTGTTATGCGATCCTATTTACTAGAAGTAGGTTCTCCTTCCTCAGTTATTCATCCTGGTCCGTCATTTTGACATTTTTAATCTAGCTGCGATAACGTAGCTTTCTGACGAAGAGCGATTTTTTTTTTATATATTGCGTCGTCGCGCCAGGGCAGGCCGGGTATTATATTAGTACTAATTTAAAACTTGCATGTCAAAACAAAAAACAATCGTTTAATTCAGCAATATAATTAAATCATACCATTTTACTGATCCCGGTAATATTATAAATTATGTAAATCTAATAGCGCACGTATCTCATTTGACCCCGAGCACCGACAGAGGATCAGAGAACAGAATACGCCGTGGCCATCACAGCAGTTATCCCTTGGGGGGCCTCATGGCAAAATCAAACTAACCAGTCACTTATCCCTTTCGTTTGCATAAACCACTGTATAATTAAAAAAAACACAAAGTAAACTCTCTCCGATACATGCCCATTAACATATTAAACTAAGTTCATCTGTGTTCAAACTCACACAATGATACTAGCGAGGTTAATAGTTTTAGATATTTATTCATAACATAAACAGCGCTAGCATTTCTGTCGATTTTATTTCAGCTTAACCGGCCGCTATCCGGAAGAAAACATGCACCGTACTGACTGCTAGGGCAGTTATTTTCTGCTTTGAATACTTCCCACTGGCAATAATGATTCCGTAACGTACCCCTTGCGCTATCTTTTGACCATTTGGCAACTATTCGCTTCGTAGCTGACACGGTACAACACTTTTCTTTGGCTTACTTCACACGGCCAGTCATTTTGTTTACAAAGAAATGGTGTGCTATGCGCATGCGCTAGTAGAGGGAAATCCCTGAACAAAACGTTGGTCAGACAGGTAGAAATACCGATGATTATCTTAGATTTAATCATTTTTATGAATCTTTTTCAGCCAAATCCGATCGGCATTTTCCATAAGGAGTCTCACTTGATATGTTTATGTAGTATTTGGAAAAAAGACAAAAAAAAAAGTTACTTCAGCGTGATGCCCCTTTAAAAGACGGCTGAAGTCAGGCAAGACAAACCATTACCTTATTGTATCGGTCCAATCCCATAGGCTAAGGCTTTGTGTATAGAAAACAAAGCATAACTGCTATAGGATTGAAGGTTTTTTTTCTGCCAAAAACAATGTGTATACGGCTAAATTTGTTGACCGCTTGGCAATCCCGAATTGGAAGAACACAGACAATGTCCTCCCTTTAGTAATAATTTGCGTCAACTTGTACTCATGCCTACCTTTTACAACATCTGTACCACGTGACCTTGTATGAACTTTGGTGTTGAAGAGTCGTTAAAAATATATGTCATATATTTAATTATTCCATTGAAGTAAATCAATATACCACAATAGACGGTGGGGCTAGTACATTACCAACGATAACTGCGGTATGTGAGTTCGTTGAACAGCTTGTCTCCATAGAGTCAGTTATCAGGTCAACTAGTACAAAGTATGCGAGTTTGTGTTAAAGTTGTTTAAGTACACAGCTGGGTTTCCTATTACTAATAAACTATAGCTTATTGACATGAATGGTAGAATATTTTGTTAGAGATTATTTAATACCAATGTAATTGACAGCTTGTGGTTGCGTGGTTTCCTTTGAACGACCCGACAGTTTCTAAAGGGCAGAATGGTTGTCACGAGATGGCCAATGTAACATTGCACGCTTTACGGGACGTGATTTATTGTAGGTACATTTCTAATAGGACTCTCGAATATCCATTTCACATTGGAGTTTATCCATGCTCCCACTAATGACGATATATGGGTCTATATGTACGTTGCACTCTGCCAAGATGTTAATTTCGTAACCATCATTATGATATCAAATGAGAAACTGCAGTCTCACGTATGTTGCACTCTAAGATATTTGAAATGGACATGTATCGAGAGCGTAATCAAATTTCGTAAAGAAGTGGAGTACATCCGTTCCAAGTAAAGTGTACGGGTAGGACAGATGACATAAATCTCCGAGGACAAATCAAATTAACACACCATTTTATGCAGTGCTGAATCCATTTGATATATTCCTGTCTTCTTACTTTTATTAAAAAATATCGATCCAGCACCTACAATTGTAATATGCTAATTCAAATACATTTATTCGAAGTCTTGAAGTTTCGAATAACATCAATTTTAGCCCAAAATAACCCTTAATCAGGAGGGCAAAAAACTCAAGTGATTTGCATTTCCGTTTCTTTTTACCATGGTGAAATTTATTCTTTAATCTCGAATAGAAAATTCTAGATAATCCAAGGCTAGTGTTATGTTGTTTAACATGACTGACGATGACAAATAATTCATAGAAAATTAAGTTACTTTGAACATTCTTAGCGTCTTAGAAATGCATCAATCACCCATTAACCTTCCGACAGATTTGATTTTAATCTAGCTTAAGTTGCGTCATCCTCCTTTTTATCTCGAGTTAACACAATTATGGCGTTGTCAATGTCTTAACACATGGCATTAACTATTTATACGCAATACTGTAATTTTGACCTTCACAGCGTTTCATCAACCCAATAGCATCACAAAGGTGCTGCGCTTAATCAAAGCTGAGAAAACCTGTGGTGCGATTCTGCTCTAGATTTATCTTTGGACATTTTTATATCTGATATTTCAATGTTGTTTGGAGTTTGAAATGACTTGTAGACAAACCCTTTGAAGAAAAACAATGTAAATTAGTCTTCTGACACAATTTCCTGTCTAAGTGAACACATCAATTTAAAAAGATGTATAGCGAGTCATGTTGAGAATAATGATGTAAGACACTTAGAAAACCCGGACACCTACAATGCTAGCAGCTGATATGGCAGCTTTTATTGAAATCAAGGTCAAATGAATAAGAAGGTGTGCACTTGAATACTTCAGCAAGCCACCTCCAAAGAAGGCTAGTATTATGATATTTTGATACGGGCTTTTTTTCTTAATTATATTGTGCCTTTCATTTAGAAAAAATGATGTGATGTTTGGAGGGTTATTATAAATTGCTTTAATGCAAAAAAAAAATAAAGACAAAAAGTTTTAACTATCCATATGGTAGATATATTTGTAAAAGATGTCCTTGAGTGAGCACACATGAGAAATATAGGTCACTGCAGCTAATTTCTAAGAACGTTGAAATCGGTACTTTTCAAATTGGTTTTGACATGCTCTCAAATGTTAATGAATGTCACTGAAAAGGAACTTACTTGATACTAATGCGAGAATTCTTCCTTTCATTATATCTAATGTAAATTAATAAGTTTACTTACCATACTAGCATCCAAAATATTCACGGTATCTCCCTGTGCAGCCACGTGACCTATTATCCCTTTTCCCCACGCGACCTTGATGCTACTCTGACCGGAAGTAGATGGAAAGATGGACGTACCGGAATGAATATCAAACAGTTTGGACACAAGAACGGGCCGATTAGAACCCTTGCCCTCCAACACAAATACAGACCCAGCATCTCCATCCACTAGCACGCTTATGTTGGATTTAATCTTATTCGTAAGACTCCGAAGGTCAAGGTCGTTAGAAATATCCTTCACGATTTCCAAGAAGAAATCACGTTCGTTGATTTGTCGCAGATCCCTTTTCATATCGATATCCTTACTTGGGTAGCGTGGAAGTCGGACCTTTGACTGAATTAACAGACTAAGGATGTTCACAGAATTCTGCGGCAAGGATCGGAACATCCGCATATCTTTTAGACTACTGCGCCGACCCTCTGTCGTAAGTTCAGGAGAAGAAGTCGGTTCGTACGTTCGAAATATGTTCTTCTTTTTTGATTTGGCGAAGTCCTGGCGGAGATACTTTTTCGAATTTGATCTTTGATGTGCATTTTCAAAGAAGCCATCTCCACACCTGAGATCACGTGGTGAGGAGGGGTTACTGTTGCCCCCCGTCAGTGACCCCCGTTTGGTAGAATGCGTTACCCCATCACATACAGCACTGTATCCGTGTACTAAAAGCCACTTGTTGATAAGAACTGTGTCCGCTTTCTTTAAAAATATTTCTTGCATGGATTCCTTATGGGAATCCATCCACTCCTCGACTGCACCCGAGGTTAGCCCGGACATCGTGTCAGGGTAGCAACTACGACAGAACGAACGACGAGAAGGCGACTTCTTTCATCGTTGTTTTTGTTGTTTAAACTTTCGATGAGTAGATTTTAGGTTCCACTATAAATAGTTTAGTTTTATAATGTAGATTTAAGTTGTCAAAAACACTTAATGTATTTTTATAATGTATTTGTCAGTTAAGTAGTTTTACACAATAGGTGTATTTTAACCCAACACGTTTGTTTGCATTGATTGAAAATTATAAACTTGGTCAACACAGAGAAGTATGTAGACACTATCAAACGTATTCTGGATCATCGGACTACCCAGGGCTGCTGTCGCGTGTCAATATAAATCCACATGTACTTCACGTAACATATTTCACCTGTTCAAAACGTTTATTATACATATCACAAAATTAATCACTAATGTACAAAATTGGCGCCAATGGCCGTCTTTTTACTTCTCAATCATTATATAAAGAAAAAAAAATCCATTGAATACAATACTTCCAAAAGATTAATAATACAATCCATCAGACACTGTTTTGACAAACATAAAATTATCGTATATATCCAATCACGGTAATAAATCCCGTATCGCAATAGTAGTTATATTTGCTGTCGGTCTTGTCATATCGAGATGATATATCATAGAACAGAGACACTGTCCCCAACCGGCGAGTAAATCCCAGTCACCACTTGCCGGTTGCTGCTATGCAGAGCCAGTACGAGTGAGTGAGTGAGTAGGATCTGAGCGTGGTGTGGCAGCCCTGTGTTACCAGTGGACCAACAGATATGTATCTCTCGGCGCATTTGCCATCGCGGATCGATATCTAGTGGAAGTTGTGATCCGGTCGCGTAGTAATCATATGTCAGCCGTGATCATTTTGCCGCGCATTCCGACAAAAGAGACACCACTGTTCACGGTAGAGTAAAATTATACTTGTATACATTATATCAGTTATTGTCCCAACTGATGACTTCATTAATTATTGATTGAGGAGTGATATTTCTGTCGATACTGTATTAGGCAGTACTATATCGTGTCCAATTATTGTGTATCGAGTTGACTGCTTCGCCATAAAATCTATGACACTATAACAGGCAGACCAAGTTATCATGATTAATAGGATGGTATGTGCGCTCATTCACAGTTCCGTTGTATGTCAATAGAGAAATCTAAATAATTTAACGTTCCCGGACGTTTTCATGCATACATACTTAAGACAAAGTGCCCGAGTTAAATGTCAATGAATTTATTCTCAGGTAAAACGTATGATATAGTTTTATAGTGTTATTATATTATTGTATAAGATACGTCCAGTATATCTGTATAAAACTCCAATAAATATACAATGATGACGGGATTAAGCCATGGTTGTTTTACAACATTTGATTTGTTTTGCAGTCTGACTGAGCAATACATCTCTAACATACAAACCATCAATTCTCTACAGGTATTTGAAAATAGGCTGAACCCCCAGTTTTGAGAATAGATTGACATAAATATGCATTTGGCAGTTTCTGTTAGGTCATTTGCATCTTAACAAGAAGTTTTTTGTTTTATTAACATGACTATTGAGAGTTATATTAAAACCTCCTAGCGTTGTTCTTATGATATAAACAGTATATTCACAACAACCTTTTAAAGGGACATCACGTGAAGAGCCATATTTTTTTTAATGATGTATGTATTGTATGCACTTCCACTTATGTTACCTCGATATCCCCATATTCATAGTCCGTTCCAAATGTCCAGTTTGACCACTTGAATTGTTCGGGAAAGCCCTGCTAAAAATAGCGCCGATAACGTCACCTGACTAGGCAGGAAACGGTTTCCAAAGGGGCCCCCAGAGAGGGGCGTCAGGCAACTGCAACTTCTCACTGCACTATGAAACCAAGTAATAAAGTCCGTATTAAAACTTATTGAACAGTAGTTATTCATCATCAGAAGTTAATTGCACACTTGCACACTTGCCAATATTCAGAATTTAAATTTATTTAGCTTTAAACATATTTGTTGCCAATAAAATTGAACAAGGGATGGGGCACACGTTTTTACTATTTATCACAGCCTTCTCCCGTCATACATTTACAATTAAATGTCAACAATGATAATAGGCATAAACATAAAGTATATATATATAAAAATATATATTGAATTGAGAACCGGAATGTGACATCTGTACGGGGCTAAACACCTTTCTTCAACGATGGGACAAACCTTTCTGTAAAAAGGAATATTCACGAGACGAATATCCCTTTTCAAATGTTTTCATAAACTGCATATATGCAATGACAAACTACACGCGTATAAAAAAAAGAGAAACGTTAGTGATTTGTTTTATTACATTGTACAACTAAATATCTTTGGCCATTTTTTTTTCTATACCATGCATACAAATTTATGTATACTCTCTTTCCCACTTTCACTGTCTCCATACGCTAACACTTAGTAAGTCATATTAGCCATCACACACACTAAACTGTATGGCAAAACCACTAAGTGTACATGTAGAATATGTGTCAGATATGGGATGTGATGAGCTACTTGATAATTATATTTTTTCAATTCTTTTCATAAATTAAAGCATTCTTGTCAATGGACCCTTTTTATGTTGAGCCAACTTTTCTTTGACCATTTCATTTTTGTCCGAAACAGAAGCCGTAGTTATCGGCAGCACTCGTCATTTTTACAACGTAAACAAATGCTTTTCCCCTGTTTTCAATACGTATTCCGATTCTATCTGAAGTCGAAAATTAATTCTTTATAGAGAAAAGGTTGTTACATGATCATACATTCTAAGTAAACAACATATGAAAACATGAACTGTTGAAATATTACGATTTAAAAAAGAATGTTACGCGATCCTATTTATTAGAAGTAGGTTCTCCTTCCTCAGTTATTCATCCTGGCTCGTCATTTTGACATTTTAAATCTAGCTGCGATAATGTAGTTTTCTGACGACGAGAGATTTTTTTATATATTGCGTCGTTGCGACAGAGGAAGCCGGGTATTCATATTAGTACTCATTTAAATCTTGTATGTAAAAACAAACAAAAAATCGTTTAATTCAGCAATATAATTAAATCATACCATTTTACTGAACCCGGTAATATTATAAATTATGTAAATTTAAAAGGTCACGTATCTCATTTGACCCCGATCACGAGTACCGACAGAGACAGAATACGCCGTGGCTATCATAACAGTTAACCCTTGGAGGGCCTAATGACAAAATCAAACTAACCAGTCACTTATCCCTTCCTTTCGCATAAACCACTGTATAATTATAGAAACACAAAGTAAACTCCGATACATGCCCATTGACATATTAAACTAAGTTTATCTGTGTTCAAACTCGGACAAAGATGCTAGCGAGGTTAATAGTTTTAGATATTTAATCATAACATAAACAGCGCTAGTATTTCTGTCGATTCCATTTCAGCTTAACCGGCTATCCGGAGGAATACATGCACCGTACTAACTGCTAGGGCAGTTATTTTCTCCTTTGAATACTTCCCACCTGTAATAATAATTCCGTAACGTACTCCTTGTGCTATCTTTTGACCATTTGGCAACTTTTCGCTTCGTAGCTGACACGGTACAACACTTTTCTTTGGCTTACTTCACACGGCAAGTCATTTTGTTTACAAAGAAATGGTGTGCAATGCGCATGCGCTAGTAGAGGGAAATCCCTGAACAAAACGTTATAATAATAATAATAATAATTAACTTTATTTATTGAGGATACAAAACCTGTTTAGCAAAGCTAATCTTCCACAGGGTCCTCTGTTAGTAAAATTGGTTAGTTAAAAGACAAAGTAGTATCACAGCAAATACATGTACATAAAATAATTATCACCGTTGCTACTAAGACATAATTGTTGGTCTTACTAAAACAGCAATTCATATCACAGTTATTTCATAATTTAAACGGTTGTTCAAAACAATTACAATAAAATTATTACAGAAGCAACGAAACATATTCCGTGCTTAACCCATTATGGTTTTCATTAAAAGACAAATTGTCTAATTTACGTATATGCTAATGTAGCAAAAGCTAAAAAATTGACAGAATACACGCTAATATAGCGAAAATAAAACAAATCAAAGCTGTATCTAAAAAGTATAATAGTAAAAATAAAAGACAATTAAACCGCATTCTTAATGTTGTCAAGGAGGAAGAGAGTCGTACTCCAACCGTACGTTGGTCAGACAGGTAGAAATACCGATGATTATCTTAGATTTAATCATTTTTATGAATCTATTTCAGCCAAATCCGATCGTTATTTTCCATAAGGAGTCTCACTTTATATGTTTATGTAGTATTTGAAAAAAGACAAAAAAAAATAGTTACTTCAGCGTGATGCCCCTTTAAGCTGTCGTAACAAACATGAGACGTTGTCATTTTGAAGTTGGTTTGGTTTGATTTTATTTTGTTCAACGTCCAATTAACAGCTTAGGTCATTAAAGGACGTGCCCCATGTGTGTTGTGTAAGCGTGTATGTGTGTGTGCCGGAGACAGGGTATATTGTTGTACTTGCTTCCTTGTGATAGCGCGGATATAATGCCGATTTTATAGTGATATATCACTGAAATACCATGTCGAAGGCACCAATCACAGCATTCCGCCCGGTCACATTATACCGTTAACGGGTGAACCCGTTGTTGCTATTACCTAATTGCTTAACAGTGAGGAAGAATTTTAAGGACTTTGTTATGTCCCGGCCTGGTGACAGAATCCATTGCCTTCCTCAACTGAGCGAACGCTCAACATTAAAGCCAAAAGTTGAATGTTGCAAAGCAAAACGCTGAAAATAAAAGTTTGTTTCGAAATTATAGAGAAATATAAAGATCCCAATTGTTGCAAATAGTACAGCAGATTTATTTTGGCCCCCAGGTAGAGGGCACAAAAGCAAATCTCCAATTCTGTAGGAGGATTCCCACATTAGACACCTGTTACAATACATATCAGATTCTGTCGATTCCCGACCTGCAAGGTTGTCATGTTGACGTATAACTCGTCATAACATTGTCCAAATAATGCTGCTACCATTGAAACAAAATGGATTATCTCACAGTTAGAAATAGTTTGTTACATAATTGTAGTTAACGTTTGACATAGTTCATTGAATAAAGTAAATGAGTCATGTTTTTCACGAAATATTATCCTCGCAATCAATTTGTTTAATGCATTATCGTCAAAATATCATAGTCAAATACTATATAATTGACAGTACAATTAATGTTTTAATTAAAACATTAGATGGATTTTTCAGCAGAATGAAGGTATTCCTATATATTTCTTTGTGAACAAACTGTGCCCCTTTTCGTGGAGTCCAATTTTGAAATATGTGACGTCACGTATACTGTCAAGCATGACAATGGTATGTTTATTTGAATTCAGTGAAGGCATGGCAAAGTTGAGTGCCTCCAGTAATCATCGATGCCTATCCCGTATGCAATCCAAATAACCAATATATAGTTTGATCATTTCTATTCATGTTCAGAGGCATTTCTGACAATTTCATTGTGAATATCTCTTATGGTGTAATATTTTGTTCCCTTTTTGTGTAAATCTATTAATTAGTCTGACTTGATGTTTTTTCTTTTCGTTTGTTTATTCTTCTGTATAAACAGATTTCTGGTTATTACCTTTAGAATTCGTTTATGGAAACAATTTTAGTCTTTTCATTCTATGTTACTCCCGATGAAATGGAAACGGTTCTTTTCGGCACTTCTTTTTCCAGTCATATTTGTATATAATGATTGAATAGAAACTCTTTCA